CAGCTTGGCTGCCCAGGCAGAAAGACAAAATCCTGCCTCATGTTCTGCCAGAGAAGCCTGTAAGATCCTAGAGTGCTAATGTTTAATTATGAACTTGTTTTGCACAGGAGTTTGATACTGAACAGCTGTGATGCACAGGGCTTCCTTTGCCCCTCAATCATTAGTCCCCACATAGCCTGTCTGATCCACCAGAGTATTCCCTGACAAGGAATTGCCGTCCTCAAGCAGTACTGCTGCAAGTACCTTAAATTCAGGGAGCGACACCTGTCCCTTCTGAAAGTTCTTCATGAATGGTGTGTTCTCTGCCTGCTCATGCACCTCTTTGGTTGCTTCTTTCATGAGTTCTGACAGGTCCCGCAACATGCTGAGGAAAGACAGAAAAAAAGATGTTGATCCTGTCATTCTCCTCCTGCAAAATGGATTTTAGCTGTCTAACAAAAACAAGGAAGCCTGAGAAGGCCAGGGAAGGAACAGCATTCCTGAGAGCACAGATGGGAATAGGGGAGTGCTAGTATCCCAAACAGTGACTGAGGGGGAGCAGAATTGTCAGAGTCCAGCCAGAGGGCAAAGAAAGTGCATGCTGCTCACAGCAGAGGGACCTAAAAGCAAAGGGAAAATACGATACTTTTGGATGGAAATTTCCCTCTTATCCCCATCCCACTCTCACCTTTCAGAGCCGTGTCTCTGGGAAGTTTCCATGTTTCTCCACTTCTTTTCCTCCTCTGTGTGCCTGTTGTTTTTTCTTGCCTTTGCTTTCCTCCTTCCCTCCTGTTCCCAGGACACTGTGAAGCACTGGAGCTGGATTGCCTGCCCGGCTTCTGCCTCCAGCTTTATACTCGGGCCAGGTCACGTGAGCAGCGAAACTGCTGACCTCAGTGTTGAGACAAACTTCTTGCAACACGGCCACACTTCCCTTAGCAGCGTGGTTGTCACCCTCTCTGCCGGCCGCCCTAGGAATCCGACTTGGAAAGGCAGAAGGAAGTCACCTGATTTCTCTTGACAATGTGCACAAATAAGAAAATGTTCAACAACAACTTTTTCGAGACTGCCTGGCTTGGTAACCCTTTCAGCCCAGCGCTGCTGGCACGCAGAGCGCGGGTGCTACAAGCAATGGTCACTGTGCTAAGGGCAGGGATGTTGGACAGAGGAGTGGGCTTCTGTGTTAGCGCCATGGTCAGATGTGATGGGGCAAGGTGGGCAACCTCATCTTCTCATAAGCTTCTAGCCCAATCTGTCCCCACCTGGAGAGCTAACACAGCATCTGTCCTAATCTCTGTCAAGACTCAGGTGTAAATATTTGATTTCCTGCGGTCATTAACATTGTCAGAGTTCCCTGGGGTGACAAGGTGCTTACCAGCCATGGGGTGGGGTGCTCTGCGATGCAGGATTTGGGGAAAACTCTTGGAAATTCTGCAGAGACTTTCAAATGTAACTAATTCCTCTGATTTAGGAAAAGAGTTAGGCTGGTTCTGCCAGTGGCAGGTTTCTCTGCTGTTTTGCCTGTTGAAGTGATTGAAATGACTTGAAGTTAATGAGGCAGCCTGTGGATGGTGGGGCCCTTGTTTTCCAGCTGAGCCGCAAGCAGAGCTAACCAGGGTTGCAGATGCACCAGCCAGCTCTTCTTTGAGAAAGCACGAATTTTACGTTCAGTCCAAACACCGTGGCACTTAAAAGCAGCTAGTGCAGAGGTGAGAAAGCACTGCTGCAATAGCATAGAGCACCACATGCCCAAAGTGCTAGTGAGGTAGTGCAGGGGAAGAGGGGGTGAGAATCGCAATAATCTTGGGTCTGTGTCTTTTGCCCTGGCGAGTCAGTTTGTGGCTTTCGTGAGGATTGCTTCAGTCCAAGCCACCCGTCTCCCTTTCTCCCTGTCACTGCACCTACCCCAAGAGGGGCTTGCTGTGGTGCCATAGGTTAGAAAGCTGTCGGGGGGGAAATGTGCATCTACGCCTGTTTTTTCCACTCACGCAGACATCTGGTTTGCAGTGTGGGGAGCTCAGGAAAGATTAGTCAGCGATTCCACCCTGACTCAGCCAGACTTTTCCGGTCTTGTTTCTTTCTTTAAAGGAACAGTACATTCTAGCAAAAACTGTCACGTTCTTTTCATTCTTCCTCTCAGCCATGCTGTTGAACAGAACTTGTTGCTGGCTTGTTTGTTTTTTGGTATGGTAAAATAAATTTGATTCTCTGAAGAAGGTGCGACAAAGCCCCAAACACCCTTGGGGAGAGGACTCTGCGCAGGAGCCCACCGAGCACAGGGCTGTATGGCCATGTCCTAGGGACATCCATGCCACTTTGCCACTGGGACAGCCTCGAAATGAGCACTTCTCTCTTGCATTGCTCTCTTGAAGCTCACACTTTTCACTTCTTTTCTTTGAGTCCTGATTCTGCAGGAGAAGCCGGTGCATAAACCCAACCCGTAGTTCCAGCAGAGGAAGGAATACTTGGTTGGCATGAGCAAACCACAAGCCCTGTCCCTCCCGTTATTCTGTTGGGAAGCTCTGAATGTGCCCAGTGTCTCTGCAAAGGTTTTCTTGCTGCTCTCAGATCAGTCAGTGCTTTCATGCCCTGCCTGCTTCCCTTTTCCTCAGAGGTTGCATGCCTAGAGGTGCTCTGATGTATCTAACCAAAACATCTTCCTCCTCCTTCCTTTTCACCTGCAGTTAAGGCAGCCAAGATGGGGATGAAGGAAGTGCCTGGCGAAGACAGATAGCTGCTGTTTAGCCATATCACTGCGAATCCAGGTGAGAAACTTCTTCCTGAGCAATGTATTGCTTTGTAATCACACTGTTCTGGAACATGGAGCTGCCTTTTTTTTTTTCCTTTTTTGCTTTGGGGGCTCCCCAGCCTATCTCCCTGCTGGCTTTTGAGACTTTACCTTCTCCCAGGCTGGTCAGGGGAGATAAGCTCCCTCCTGCAGATGAGGTTTTTTTTCGTATGTGCAAGGAAACAAACTGTGTCCCATAACTGAGTTACACCTCCTGCCCTCCTGCCCCTCTAATCGGGGTTACTTGGTGGAAGAGCAGATCCCGGCTGGGCCTAGCTTCCCAAAAGGCAGAAGTGCTCTGTGGATGAGATGGAAGGGGAACTGAAAAAGCGCTGTCATCATCTTTGTGGTCACCAGGGCATTTCTGGCTGTGTCCCCTGTTCTGCAGCAAGGTTTTGTGGTGCGTCTGCTGTGCTTTTGCTATGTGGTGGAGGGAAGGTTATGGACATGGAAAGTGCCCAAGTTCTGGCAGAGATCTGTGAGTGACCATCTCTTCCTAGAAGACACCTTGGGAAGCTGTCAGTTAAGAAGGATGCACTGGAAAGAAGGTACATATTTTTAGCAGAAAAAATAACCGCCTGCTAGAACAAAACACTTGGGGGCATAGTGTGCCACTCACAACACAGATGCCAGTCCAGATCCAGGTCACTGCTAAATTCGGCTTGTGACCTGTGACCAAGGTCTCAGACCTGTGGTCTCTCCACCGAGCCTGCCAGAAATCCTGCGTTAATTATTGATCTCTTCGTTCACAAAGTGCCAGAGTTTTCTTGTCAAGGTGATGTGCGTGGAAACAAGTGAAATTGCCCGGGATATTTCTAGTAAACATGAATCAAGCAGCCCAAGACTAGTTCCTGCTGGTTTTAGAAACCTCTGATTGAATATCCCGGCCACTGAGCAAAAGTTTAAGTCGAGAGATTTGCTAGATGAGCAGTGAACAACATTACAGAGTTATTGAGGAGTTGGTTCTATCAGGCATAGTGAAGTGGGGATTTTTGTGCTTTATAGGCTTAAGAACATATTCTGCCAGTAGATTTTATAGTCAGAGAATTTTCTAAGCATATAGTCAGTCACAGAGCTTGAAATCAGCTCCTCTGAACTTGCGTGGGAAGCAATGTTGTTCAGGGTCTGGCCTCCAGCCCCTGGAGGCTTGGCTGGGAGGAAGCAGTCTGGTAAAAAACCAGTTGTTCCAGGCAAGAAAGGGTTACGTCTTGCACCAGATTTGTCATACCATGACACAGCAAAATGCAGCCTCATGGTTTTGGAAGGAAAAGCTGATTCAATAGTCAGAACTTGCTGAGTTACTGAGAAAAAAAAAAAAAAAAAAGAAGAAGAAGTGATAAGTGCTTGAAATGGCTTTCTTGAGAAGGCCGTCCCTGCCTAGGGCACACAGCAGTAAGCTGTGGTTTAATACACACTTACCAAAGGAAGGTTGCCCAGCCCAGTTCTGGCAGAACGCGCCGTGCTCACTCCTGTTGTTAGCATTTAACAATCTAAGTCTAGATCAAAGGTATAGGTGGGAAAATGAAGGTTGTGAGTACAGTGCTCTGATAAATCCTGTAGGGAGCAAGCGTGCTGCACGATTCCTCTGCACAGGCACTGCTGGAGTGTGTGGAGGCACTTCTGCAAGGGGGGAGTCCTGGAGGCAGCACTGCTGTTGTGGGCAGGCCTGGGAGCCCCAGACACAGATGAAATGGGAGACAAAAATGCAGGTGAATTTCTCAGACATAAATGAAGCAATGTGACAGAACAGGAAGCACAGATTAAATACACATATTTTATTTGGATTTGAAGGATTTGAACATCACGCATCTACAACAGGAGAACTTCTGACAAATCTCACACCTATGTTCAAGGAAGTGGCATTGAAAACCAAGCTCTGTAGGTGCTCAGGGTAACGCAGAAGCTCTCCCCAAGTTTGCAAGTCCTCCTGTGCTTGGTGCATGAAACATTGCAGCTACATGAAGTGTGCGTCCCCTTCTCCTGCGCAGGGTTACACAGATCTCAGCCTGGCGGGAAGCTGGGGATGTTTCTAGAGACTTCTCCCAATCTTTCCATCCCATTTCTTGGGACCGGGGCCAAGATCAGCAGCTGCAACCTCAGCGCTGGGAAGCCGCCCTGCTGCGAAACATCCTCACGTGGCCCCGGCTCCACCGTGACTCAGCAAAACAGCCCCCACGCCTGCCTGCAATCCGAAACCTTTGCTCAGCAAAGCGCCCCGTGACTCAGCAGAACGTGCAGGGCTGCACATGCTGGGAAAAAACAGATCTGCTCCGCTGGGAACCGGAGCCGGGGCGGCCAAGCCCGCTTCGCAGGCAGGCGCCCCGCTGGGGACATGATTTGTAGCAGCTGCTCCGGAGCAGCCAATTCCCAACTTGGAGTCTTCTGCACCAAAAAAATTAAAAAAAAAGAAAGAAAGAAATCAGTGGGAACTGTGTGGTATCGCAGCAGCAGCAAAATCATCCCCCTTCGGCTGCCTTCCCAAAAGAGAGCGCAGGCTTTGCAGCTGTGCAAACTGTGAAAGGGCGGGGGGCAGATGTCCCGAGCTGGGAGAGATACAGAACTTGCTGATCCAAGAACAAGAGCTGCCTGCTTGTCTCTCCTAGAGATCCAGGTCCCATCCCATTTCTTGGAACAGAAGGATTTGGAGAAGCCTCTAGAAGAGTAGGGAAGCTCAGAGGAGCGAGCACTAATGCTATTTGTATTAGTGCTTAAGGGCTCCAGGGAGCGCATCAGTCCCCAACTAGTTGTTAAGCATTGTGTTGACATGCCAGTAAATGAAGTTTTCTGGGGTAATTAGCCTGGATGCAGCCAAGTGCTATTAGAGCAGGCTGGTGAGGGGGTGAACTGGCAGCAGGGGGGCTCCTGGTTGCAGGAGAGAAGAGTTGGGGTTCGGGCTCAAGGGGAGAAGAGGGTGCAGTAAGGCTGGTGGGAGCAAAGTGGAGCTCAC